ATATATATATACACATTAGGGATGTACTCGCCAAAATGCTCCAATACTTAGCCCCGATACCAGAACTCCCGGTCAGAAGGAGATTTCCTGTGACCGGCAGTGCCGCAAGGGAACATGGAGCTGGCTTCTCGGCCAATAAGTAATGACCCACCTCCCAGCTTAATGATTGGCTGGGAAGTTGTCTACATGCTGTTTGGCCAGCTTGATGCTGAATGGTTGAGAAGCTGGCTTCCCGGCCAATCAGCATCAAGCCGGCCAAACAGCATAGAGTTGGTTCCTTGGCAGGCAAGAAGCCAGGTGGCGGATAATGAAACGCAGCCCGACTTGGCCAGGAAGCTGGCTCCATGCTAGCAGAAGTACCGGTACCGGTGCATCCCTAATATTTACACACACACACAAACATGACATATAAAGTTTTATACCAAGTATAAAGTATAAAGTATATTCAGTTTTATATACATACCCTTGTCCACTGCTGAGTAGCGCAAATGCCTCATTGATTTGATCCAGTTTCATTGTTCTGCTCACCAAAAAGCTAACGTTGATTTTTTTCTTCATATAATCATCTACAAGCTTTGAGACTTCCTCACCCTTATAGCCTAAAAAAATTAAATACCATACCATTAGTATATTTAGATTTCCCTTCTACAACCCCAAGACTGTCATTTACAAACACATTGTCAGTAGAGTTTTCACTTTGACTATTCTTATCTTAGGTAAAGTGACACTAAACTCAGCAGTTAAATCTTCAAAATACATTCAAGTACCCTTAGGCCCCTTTCCCATGGCCGGTCAAGCGGACCTGATCAGATGCCCAGTGTAAGTCTATAGGAAGCCGCATGTAAACGCACAGTTGTCTGTTTGCACTTGGTTACCTCCGAGTTAGAAAAACAAGCGTTCCGTTTTGCCATACTGGATTGTGGTGGATTGTGGGTATTCTAATGTAAACAGACAGATGTCTGTTTACATCCCATTCCCCATAAACAGACATGGGGTCCAGTAATTGCAGATTTTTTTTAGAAAAGAAATGTACTGACACGGATGTTACATTGGTGACATCTACTCCGTACTGCTGTGATCAGAAGAGGATCCATGCATGGATCCTTTCCTGATCAGCCCATGTGAAAGAGGCCTAACTAATAACAAAATGTATCTTATGTGTGTATCACTCAGCTGTAGATCTTCAAATCATCTCTAAATTGGTGCTGACACTACTATTGGTGCCGACACTATTTCTGTTCCCTGTTTTTGTTGTAAAGTAGACAACGCTCCAAGCTTGCTCCCATGATGGACTAGAATCTCATGTTTAGTGTACCAATTTGTATTGAGATTGTAGTCTATCACAAGAGTGAGCTTGGAGTGGTGGCTACTTTACAACACACACAAGTACCCAACGTAGCCACCCCCTGGAAGGCACATATGATACATTTTTGTTAATAGTTAGGGTATTTGAATGCATTTTTGCGTGCTCATAGTGTATACTGAGTGTAGGCTCAGATTCTATTCAACCAAACCCTTTTATGCCATGCCCACTATTCACAAAAATTTTGTCATGCCTACTGTTTGTTGCGTCATCAACTTGCACCACCAATTTTCTCTCATTGGTGTGCCCAAGGGTGCCTTAGGTTCTTTAGAATCCTAGCAAAAGTCTTACTAGAGATAATTAAAAATTACATACAGGTGAAACTCGAATAATTAGAATATCGTGCAAAGTTCATTTATTTCACTAATGCAACTTAAAAGGTGAAACTAATATATGAGAGAGACTCATTACATGCAAAGCAAGATAATTCAAGCCGTGATTTGTCATAATTGTAATGATTATGGCTTACAGCTCATGAAAACCCCAAGAACCCCAAATCCACAACCTCAAAAAAGTAGATTATTACATGCAATCAATAAAACAAGGATTGTACATAGAACAATATCGGACCTCTGAAAAGTACAAGCATGCATATGTACTCAGTACTTGGTTTGGGCCCCTTTTGCAGCACTTACTGCAATTACTTTTGCACGATATTCTAATTATTCGAGTTTCACCTGTATTTGCTGTACATACAAACATGCATATATACAAACACATACGTACACTTAAAGTTACAGGCAACACATAGGTAAAATATAACCATACCTCCATATACAGATCCTTTCAGTGCCCGACCTGTTAGTAGCAAGAGAGGATCAAGGGGAAGACGCTCAGTTGGAGATGCTAAGCCAAGCACAACAGTCACTCCGCTACCACAGTAAGTGGATTGCAATGCATTCATCTAAAAAAATGATTTAATAACATTTTTACGCATGCACATGTTAAGAATTGTATTTCAAATTTACCTCAGTTATTTTAAATATTTTTATTTGTAATTCTTGGGGGGAAAAAATGATTAATTTAGTTTCTAAACAGTTATACATTATGCTATATGAAATCTCTATGATTTAATGGTTGTTAGATCGGATTTTTATAGGTATCTACAAGAATATGAACACAGAGCAACAAAAAAAACAAAAAAAAAACAGTAAAGCTAACACTTTTATGAATATGATAAATTCTTCTTTTTACTCTAAAAATGCATAATATATATTCTCTATATGTAGGGCAATTTACAGCCCACCACCCCCCTTAAAAATTAAAAATTCTCTGAACATTCTCTAGCTCATGGATATCCCTTCTATGGACTGGTGACTAAAACTGAACCATGTACTCAAGATGCAACCGAACCAGCATTTTATGAAGTGGTAGAATTATTTGATGAAATAAAGGCCTTTTTTCAATTTTAAGAATAAAAACATTACAAACAAAAGAATAAAAAAAATCTTACTGCTTACAAAAATAAACCAAAAAAAAAATTACATCAGGAAAAAAATAGTTAAGGGTAAAAGGGGCAAAAGCAGTAAATTAGGGCTGACTAGGGTAAAGAAAGGTGTTTTACATTAGCCCTGTGTATTATGATGTTTTTGTTTTGAGCGTGTTTAGCAAAACAAGCTGACGGGTTCTAGCATTTTCCATCTAAACCTAAAAAAACATTTACTTCTATTTGTATTGCTGTTAAGGAGCTTTCCCCCCTCTTCCTTGGGACAACCTTTTTGCTAGACAGGAAATTATGGTACTGTATCTCTCCAACTGAGCTTCCATTGGCAGGAAAACCTGGCAGAAGTTCTAATCCTTCCCCACTTTCAAACTATCTAAAAATTAAAAAAAGTTTTGGCTATAGATACACTTTAATGGTTAGGATACTTATAACAGATGGTTTCAAATTGTTTGATTCAATAACTGTTATTGTTTCTAGTTAAAGTGAACCTATCCTCCACTCTTAGTTCCTAAAAATGCTGCCTGACAACAGACACCACAGAATGCCTCTTCTGCTTCTTTTATCATTCTTCTTAAATCTTTCTCATGGATGCCTCAACTTCTCCTCTTGGGACATAATGTCTTCCTGCCCCTTGATGCTAATCCCTGCCCACCTGCTGGCCTGGGTAAAAGTATTGATATGGGAAAATTATTTGCAGGTACCCCATGATACTACTCATTTATTAATGCAGGGCCCACCCACAGCCCTGAGTGTCGGAGAGAAGAGAAGAACGCTGAAGCCTGGTAACTATTACACCTTATTCCTCTGCTCCTAGACTTAATGTGCATTTAAGCCTCCATTACCAAACAATCCTGAATGTGACTTACTAGTGCTGATTACTTGTCAAATTTGTAATTCTCTTCAACTAGTTTTAAAGTTGAACTCTGTGATTTAAAAAAAAAATAACAGTTGAAGTGCCCCCCCTCCCATCCAGCACGGCAACTGTTATTTTTTTTAATTTTTTTTTTAAATCACAGAGTTCAACTTTAAAACTAGTTGAAGAGAAATGCAAAGGATTGTTTGTTAATGGAGTCCTTTATAGAGTATATTTAAATATATAATAAATTATTACATTAACCTGTTTTTACATACCATAGTTTCAATGCGTCCAGCACATTCAATGGCATAATCCACACCTCCATTAGTTTTTTCACAAATGACCTCATAGATTGGTTTATCATAATCCTTCGGGTTTAGGCATTCTGTGGCTCCCAATTCAATGGCTTTAGGATATTTGTCTTTATGAGTTCCAACCCCAATAATGCGTGAAGCGCCAGCAGATTTGCACCCAGCTATGGCTGAGAAGCCAACACCTCCCAACCCAAAGACAGCACAGGTAGAACCTGGAGTTACCTGGAGGAAAAGAGATACTCAGAGTTAATAAAACAAACTATCAGCGCTTCCATGCTCGGGAAAGCATGGGTAGTTCTGTCTATTTTTACATGTGTTATAGTAAAATATCAGGCATAGTTGTGTATTAGGATCACGTAGGGTGCCTGTGTACCTAGTTTACTGCACCATTCTTCCACCAATGAACTATACCTAAATATGGTAGTCAGAGTCGAGCAGTGTGGTAGATTGTGGAAGCTTTGCATGGCCCTGGCCCAATGAAGGTTCACAGCTTACTGTTATTTATGCATAAAATGGTGCATTGATATTGAAAATGGAGGGTTTAATAAGAGGGCTTAATTCCACTTAAAATAAGTGGCTTGGAATCCTGAAATCTACATTCTTAGAAACATTATAATATATCTTAATGCAGGCCTATTCATATATTTTCAAGTATGCATAAAACATTCCTGATATCCCATAATATATAGCAACAGGTAGTATATATTTGAAAATGTACATTTTAAAAATAAAAAGCTGTGCATAAGCTTCATTCAAGTGGCTGTTTATAGGTGAAACTAAAGGGATCACTAAGAATCCCAGATGTTATCAGTCTGCTGCAAATAAGAGGGATGCATTGTCCATTTATCCAGTGATCGTTTAGTGTACATGGTAACTTTCTGGCACATTACAGAAAGAGAAGTAACATCAGGCGCTGAGCTGTGTAAGAGAATATGTATACACACAATGATGAATATAAAGACTATCAGGGTTATTCACAAAAGGGTGAAGAGTTTGGAGAAGGCAGGAGAAGGGAACAATTTAGGACAACATAGCTGATTTGGAAAGTGAGCTGAATAGGAGAATTTTTCCTATTCCACTATTTTGGCCTAGATTGTTCACTTCTCCTGCCTTCTCCAAACTCTTCACCCTTTTGTGAATAACCCTGTAGCTGCATTATCCTTGGTCTATTATCTTAGACTAGTGAGGATACTCTGACCCAGGATGATGTATTATCACAAATTGGTCAGAATTCTGGAAATAAAGGAAATCTAAGAGGGTCATTCACGAATGAACCGAAGGATCCAGCTGTAGCTTTGGGCCAAATGCCACTCGGCGGCATTCGGCTATTCACATACTGCCATTCAGCCCCTATGAGAATAGAGGCGAACGGCAGCGAGTGAGTTGCTGCAGCTTCGGCTCAGCCGATCCAAATCGTGTATCGGCTGAGTCGAACTCCTTCTGCACTTCGGCTGAGCTGTATAAGCAGAACATGTTCGGCTGACCAAAGGCAGCCGATGTACGGCTGATTTTAGTTGTACAAGCTGAAGTGAATAGCCGAACAGCGTTCGGCTCACTTCACCTTCGGCAGCTAAGTGAATAATCCCGTAAGACTTTTTCAGGAGGAGTCCCATCATCTCTTTCAAAACGAATAAATTCCTGTGTTACACCTAGCATTAGTTAGCATGGATCAACATAACATAAAAAATATATCTGATGCTATTTACGGTGGGTCTGCTTTAACAGATCTAGAGCTAAGGGGTTGTCCATCCACATATTTCTTGCTATTACACCAAATAGGATATCTCTTGAAGTAAGCCAGCCTTGACAGCTATTGCCATGTTGTTAGTATTAGTACTCCTCCTCTTTGCCTTTAATATATAATCTATAAGATGAGGGCCAATCCAAAAAGGGTAAGGGATAGAGAGGTCAAGATGCAGCCTAAAGGAAAATAAGTCAAAACCCGAATGCACATGGTTTTAAGATTTGCTTGCAAATATGAGATATATAACTTCAAAACCCAATTTATGCAAAACAAAACAACACATGCATACACCCACATTTAAGAAAAAGCGCTTCATTTTTTAAGTAGTTGTTAGTAATTTAATTAATAAAATTAATCAAATAAAATGAAAAAGATATTTACCTTTGCAGTGTTTACAGCTGCACCATATCCAGTAGCAAAGCCACAGCCTATAAGGCAACTTTCAAGGGGGGCTTTAGGATCTATTTTAGCAACGGCTATGTCAGCCACAACAGTGTATTCAGTGAAAGTGCTGGTGCCCATTAGGTTGTAAATTGGTTTGCCTCTACAAGTAAATCGGCTGGTCTTGTCTTGCATCAGACCTGCTTTGGCACCCAGGCTATTTGATAAAACAAAATAGTAGAATAATAAGACGACAAGAGTTTTAAAATATTAGTGCTTTAAAGCAAATAAAATCCAACTCTTAGGGTGCAGTAGATTTAAACTTACTTTAAGTATTATCAGTGATCAGAAGTAAAACAAATATTAACTAGCTAAGAAAAAATCTTATGTCAAATACCATTGACAGTTAGGTAGCTAAAATGTTTTTGTACCTAATAGGTATATTAAAAACAAAATAAAAAATAAATAGAAATAATAATTTTAAAAAACGACGACCGACGTCCCATCTGCTCTCGAAGAACACCCGCCGCATAATGGCATTTTGACAGATACCAGCAAACCATAAACAATTGGGCAGAGCTAGCAGTGACAGTGTACAGTTTTACGTCATCTGACAGGTGAGCCATGATTGGGCAAAGTCATCATGACTTTGCCCAATCATGGCTCTTACAGACTACTGAGCCCTGATTGGGCAAAGTCTTGCAAATGACCTGTGGTCAGGTGCAAGCCTTTAGCCAATTAGGGTTTTCACAAGGCCGAAGGGGCATTCAGTGGTCAAACAGACCGCCGAACGCCCTTATAGTTCGTGTGTTCGACTCGAACATCCAGCCGATCCCTATCTAGAAGGACTGGAAACTTGAGCATGGAAATTTCCCAGGATGGACATCATGCATCCATTTCAACTCCTTTCTTTACAATCAGGAATTCTGCCATGGATGCCAATATGTCCTGGTCTTTTTTGACTATATATGTCTTTCTCGACTATATATGTCTTTCTCTAAATCTGGAAAATCTGGATCCAGCTGGTCACACACAGGCTTGGTTTACATTAAGAGGTTTATCTCATATCCCCATATTTTACACTCTTCCCATTATGAATTCTAAAATAAAGGCTTAATTTTTTCATTTAAGATGGTAATACATAACAAAAAAATATTTTGCTGTAGTTAAACAGAATCTGCATTCAAGTTTAAACACACACAGTTCAACGAGTGGCCCAATCACTTAGCAAACATGCAAAAGATTGTGCGTAAAAACCTTATATTGACAATACATAGTTCAGCAAAGATATTTCTGTAAGTCAGTAAGCTGTCAGTAATTTTAAGATGCTTGTAACAATCTAACACATTTTTGGATCAGTTGTCGACCCCCATGGTCATGTGCATGTTCACTTTTACACTTTTTGGCCACTTTAATAGAAGTCAAGCATTGTTATGCAGAGTCAGGCATGAAAACATTAGAACTAAGCAAAACACAAATATAAATTAACAGGTATTGATATAAAGTATCTTTCTTGATGTTCCCATATAACGTGCAGGGAGACAAGTGACTGAAGGCAAAATGACATTCTTACTCATTTTTTTCACAAAAGTTGCTGTTTGAACTGTGACAGGCTCTGCAAGATCCACATTGGGGCATAAAAAGTGGGATGACTTTGTCACCTGTGAACAGAAAAGAGGACTCATCTGTAAATTAGGCTTAGAACATAATGACATGTACATACTGTAATGTCTTTAGTTTAAAAATAATGCAGTGTGTACACCCATTACACTGTTGTCAAAGATCACTAATATTGTTTTCCTGTGTTATACCATTGAGGAACCTTTAAAGCAGGAAAATAGGGTATCAGTTTTTCACCTATATAGAGACCCAGAGGTGCCTGCACACACCTACAGCAGCTTTCACTATCCTCTACTTTGCAGGAATTCTGGGCTTCAACAATTCCTGATAGTGCTGAAGTTTCTCTGCTGTCTACCTCCTTCAACAACTTCCAGTTGGCTAGTGAGTCAGGCCATCATAGTGATGGATCATGAGAAATGGAGGTGGGATTTTGCAACACTACCTGGAAGTGTTGGAGCTTGCCGAATCAGACCTTCTCAGCATTAAGATGAATCATGAATGCTGCTAGAGGTATAGGGAAGCACCACTGAGTGTCTACACTTCATACCTATCAGAAGCTTTTAGTATTATTAAAGTGAGAGGTCTCTTTACACTCACCTGGTTTTACACAAGTCACTCCCGGTCCAATACTTTCAACAACTCCAATTCCTTCATGGCCCAAAATCACTGGGAATTTGCTAGTGATTATCTCTTTCAGTACACTGCTGTCTGATCCACAAATACCAGTAGCAAGAATCTGGCAAAATAGATAAAAACAAAGTTAAAATAAAATAGGTACAATGTGTTTTTGTAGGCTGTAATGGGCCTGACAGTACTGGGGGGTGAAGAGAGAGTATTGGCCTTGCTCTGAGCTCAGGTAAAGAAAAAACAGTGGGTGCCTACTGGATTATGCAGCTAGAAAGTTTGTCTGTGTAGAATGTCTAAAGATTCCAGAAATGTTTCTGTATGAAACAGATCGAACTCAATCAATAAAATTTCAAATAGGCTTTAACATGTTAGTGTAATTCCAAAGGTTGTTCATTTTTCAGCAATCTTTAAATCTGCAGCTTTCCTTAAAATAATAGCTTCTGATCTTGCCATGAAGGTCCTTGTTCAGGTATGTCTTGATATAGGATGTGTCCCAATTGTCTCCTAATTGTGCTCTTCAACTGTCACCCTCTCACGTGCACTCCTGATGGATACTACAAGTGGCGGTTGCTGACACATTGAGCAAGCATGGGTTGAAATGATCACATCTGTCAGAAAGCTGGTTTAGAACAATAACGTGCAGCTGATGCTGGACTGAGTCCATGCAGGCAGGAAATACATGTTTTTTGGCTGTGTATTGTTAAGATCTACTTTCAATAAACAAACAAAACAGTGGAAATGTGCTAAATAAAGAATGTATCACTGGAAATTCTAACATTGCTCCGTCCCCGTCTCCTCCTGCTGCCGCTCTAGCATTGAGCTAGTGCGTCCGCCATTGAGCTAATGCGTCCGCCCCATCTCCTGTCTCCGCCCCCTACTGCTCCGTCCCGGTTCCCGTCTACCACGATGGGCATTCAGCCAGTGGCGTAACAACCGGCGGGGGGGTCGGCGGTGCGGCGCCCCCCCCGTCCCTGTCCCTCCTCCTCAGAGTCGGGAGCGCTGCTTCGCCTGCGGCCCGGTACCATTTGATCCACGGACCGGTACCGGGCCGCGGCCCGGGGGTTGGGGGCCACTGTCTCATAGAGCACATAAAGCCTGTAGGTCAGTTACAGAGATCCTCCAAGAGAGTTAGTTGAGGTGCATTATTTTTAGAAATGTGTTCAACTGTGCAGTGCATAGCACCAATAGATGGATTCATGTTTGAAAACATGTTGGAGGATGAGGAGATGTCATATGTTCCCCCATACTTGTAAGTACAAGGTTTATGCCACTTTACTTCACCCAGGTAAACAACCATCCTTAAAGTATAACTTGACTACCTTGACAATCAGGACAGCAAAATAATCAACTTTGTTTATGTTATGCATTATTTTTCTTGTACAAGCATTCATTGTACCCAGTAGGAAGTTTTCTAATTTTGCTGGTAGCTATGTTACCTTTTGTTTTGACATCTAAGGGGGTCTATTCACGAAGCTGCCGAAGGATCATGGCTCACTTCACTTCAGATCGGTCATTCACTCGGCTGCCCTCGGCAGCTTAGTGAATAGACCCTTAAGTGTTTGCATGGACACACTTTACAGGCCTGTTCACATGATTTTCAGGTCCTGATCAGGTCCGCATCAGGTGCGGATCTGCAGATGCAGTGCTACTCATGCAGTGCGTTTTTGACACATTTTTGATGTGTTTTCGGTCCGGATGCTGACAGATAATTTTTATTTCAAGCTGTGGGGCTGTCAGTATGCAGATTCTTCCCTTACATGAGTATCGGGCGACCGTGAGGGGCAAAGTGGCAGCCAGGCCCTGCGTCTATCGACTAGGGGGACATTAGAGTGTAATAGGGAGATTAGACTGTGGTGGGACATTAGAGTGTAAGCTCCTCTGTACAGAGACTGATATGACTGGGGCTGCAACCACTAATCGCCTAAGCCGATTAATATCGATGACGGGAAATGTTGTAAATGTTTTCCATCATCGATTAGACGGCTTTCGATTAGTTTCTCCTGTTCGCGGCTCAACACGCTTCAAGCCACATGCCGCAGCTCCTCCACGCCTCACCCAGCTCTGAGCTCTCTCCCGCCGCTGCCCACCAAAATGATCACGTTGTTGCAAGGAGACAGCAGCGTGGGGGAATGGTAGCTGCCGACAGTCCCAAGATCTCGGGGGAAGAAAGTAAAGTTGCTTGAAGAGTGTGCAGGTAAGACTGCCGATACTCCCCCCCACATGCTGTATCAATGTATTTTTTAAATAATGTTTTTTTTTTTTTGCTTAGCTGCATTGCGTTCCGTTTGCGTTGCGTTTTTGACGCGTTCGTGCATTTCCTGACAAAATGTGACATGCAGTATTGTTTCAGTCAGGAACGGAACGCACTGCACACGTGAGAACTGTAGCCCATAAAACACATAGGGATACATTGGGAAGCATATTTAGTGCAGGAGCGTACGTATCATGTCAGCACCGAATCGTGTGAACAGGCCCTACAGCAACTCTTTTACAAAAATGAAAGTCTAAATAAGCAATGTAACAGAATTGCTTTAATATCAGGATATTAAATCAGGGCTACCCATAAAGCGCGGATCCACATTTTTTACAATGTAACAGAAAAGAAGGTACAGAATGGTGCTGTAATGAAGAGGAATTGTTAACCGAAGTCTCTTCAGATATTGAAACATCCAGGAGTGTTGATCTCCTTTGTCCCCTGTTGGACTCAGTCGTTCCCGTTGAACTCCTATGTCACTACAGGACACAGAAGTGGCATAGGGGTCAGCAAAAGGAACTACTGCCAGGGTCAGATTTTACCATAGGCCACATAGACTGTGGCCCAGGATACTGTTAACAGGAAACTCTTTTGGGTGAATGCTTAAACCACTGCATTACAAACCAGTCTTATTTTACTTTTTAAGAATTTTTGAGGGGAGTCTTATTTTAAGGTGACAGCAGATTCTAAAGCGGCCAGTGGCAGTGTCTTGCCACTCACTCAAGCCATTTAATACTAAAGCCAACTTTACTTAACATTTTCCAGACTGGTGCCCTCCCCACCCCCACTGTAGGGTATTTTTAGTGGAGGAAACATTCACTTTGTTAAGTGAACAACCTTTACTCAGCTAGTAAATTAACCCCAACAAATCATAACCCACAGAAATACATATATAGAAATTGTACTATTAAAGACAATGGTAATGATTTTTTTTCTTGCTGTTTCTATGGAGTTTGGTATCTTACCAAACTGCAACAGTGAAATGGGTTTTCTTTAAAACTGGAAATAAAGAGTAAGAAAGATTAACCAGCCCAAGGCTAACACTTTTATTTCAACAAACCTACTTTTCATCCTTTCTCAGGCCCTTTTGCTGTACATATGCCACACCCTTAGGCCAGTATAGTTAGGAAGAATTTAGCAGCAGATCTGTCAACGAGTAAGAAGATGGGAAGATCTTCCAACCAATCAGTTTTTGTGAGACATCTGCCAATAAATGGTCAATGGCAGTCTTTTTACTATACATAACAATACTAAGCACAAGCAATTAATTTGGAACAAAAGAAGAACAAATAAGGCACACCTACACACCCCTGTCAAACCATAAAGCTTTACAATAAAGAATAAGAATTCTTTAAAGTAGCATAATGACACACCCACACATTACATTGATCGCCAAGATTTTATCGTGTGCAAGTATCTGCAGGTATCTGCAAGATAGGATCATACAGCTTTTTTGGCACATTGACATTTGGCACTATGTGGATTTGCAGGTGTGGCACATTAATATTTGTATGTCAATACAAATTTTATAATTTGACACACTGTTTTATTTTTTTATCTCTTACCCACAACAGACATTGATATTTCTGCGCCTGAGTCACCTTGCGTTGCCACCTGCATTGGCTATTATGAGAGAGTTCAACATTCCTACTGTATTATTTTTTAACAAATGCATTATTGAGACTGTAAAGGGGGAATAAAAGAGTAACATTATGTGGTGAAAGTGACAGACCAACAGATGGAGAGGAGGGGGTTGATTTACTTAGGGAGGAATAGGCTGAATGAACTGTGACCTGCACCTGAGTTTTGGTCTTTTCTATGGGAAAAATGTAAAGATTTTCATTTCTGCTGACTGGCTGCTGTAGGAGGTGGGCAAATTTTCCGGAATGGTTGCAGATGTTAGAGCTTATGAGAAGGCTTGTCAATGTGATGCACACATGCACACAAGAACTGATCTGGGCAAACTGATATCCTCATTTCTAATGATGATGATGATTCCAGCACCATTTTCATCTGCTCCAGTGTTTAATTGACTGATAGACTGAGTGGTTTGAAGACATATGATTAAAGTAATTAGAAGGTATATTCTGTTCTCCATGAAACTGTCTACAGCTAACGCATAAGAACGTTTACATTTTCATGTTTTTTTATTTTTTTATTAAACATGTTTTTATTTACCTCACCAAAGACATAACTTTAATTGCATTGACTCACCTTAATTCTAACTTCATGGGCTTTAGGTGGAGCAACAGTAATCTGTTCAATAGACAGAGGTTTATGAGGCTCCCAGGCAACAGCTGCCCTACATACAATATCCTGAGAAGAAAAACATACAATAAATAATAAATTGTCTGTCATACAATCAAAAGAATAAACCATGTTCATTTCACTGTAAATATCGCTAATGTAAATGCTGATGTTTTAATGCATTGCAATATAAATGGTGACAGTTTAATTTCTAACATTTTAAATTTGTTGCCCTCAATGATCCTCCAGCTATATGACAGTGGAAGGAATACAAATTGCAACAAGCTAGGTGTAACCTTTCCTTCTCACAAGAAACACATGCTATGAAAAGTACACAGGTTACCATTACAGACCGCTTCTTATGATATACCAGTTACCTGGCTGGCGTGCTGATCCTCTGGTTTCAGTACTAGGTACATTGATTGAGGGGAATGTATCAAAACCGGAGCAGACAAAATCTGGAGCAGATGTGCATGACAACCAATCAGCTTCTTTCTTTAGTCTGTTCAGTTAAAGTTTGAAAATAAAAGATAGAAGCTGATTGTTTCATTTCACTGTAAATATCGCTAATGTAAATGCTGATGTTTTAATGCATTGCAATATAAATGGTGACAGTTTAATTTCTAACATTTTAAATTTGTTGCCCTCAATGATCCTCCAGCTATATGACAGTGGAAGGAATACAAATTGCAACAAGCTAGGTGTAACCTTTCCTTCTCACAAGAAACACATGCTATGAAAAGTACACAGGTTACCATTACAGACCGCTTCTTATGATATACCAGTTACCTGGCTGGCGTGCTGATCCTCTGGTTTCAGTACTAGGTACATTGATTGAGGGGAATGTATCAAAACCGGAGCAGACAAAATCTGGAGCAGATGTGCATGACAACCAATCAGCTTCTTTCTTTAGTCTGTTCAGTTAAAGTTTGAAAATAAAAGATAGAAGCTGATTGGTTGTCATGCACATCTGCTCCAGATTTTGTCTGCTCCACTTGTGATAAATTCCCCTCACTGTATATTATTCTTTGTTATAAAAACTGAAGCAAACAACACAAATAAAAAATGCGTCATAGAGGAAAAGCAAACAAAACGATATTAAGACGATCTGTGGTGTGTGTGTGTGTAAAGCAATACGTGTTTTGCTCTACTAATTTGCTTTTTGATGTTTCCTAGGATGGCATTTACCAAGTTCTGTAAACAATATTTAAAAAACACAACAGAGTTTACTATAGATAAAAAAAACTCTGCATCCTGCTTAGTACAATAATATTTCCTGCATGTGTACTGGGGCTCAATATGGTTAAAATCACCTTATACAGCTTACATATTCTATGACATAGTATGAAAGATTTCCTACAGCATATCTAAAGCCATTTTTCATTTTGGGGAGGGTTACAAATACCAGTAGTTAATTTTTTTGCCATTTGTGTCTAATTACAGAGATGTCCCTTCACTATTTCTTTTGAAGACTCAATGAGGAGCAGACAGAATCTGAAGCAGTTGCCCATGGCAACCAATCTTTCATTTTCAAAGCTTAACTGAACAAACTGAAGAGAAAAGTGATGGACTTCAATCTCTATACAAATTAGTAAACCAAATGTGAGATTGTAGTCCACCATGGGAGTTATCTTGGAGCAGTGGCTACTTTACAACAACACACAAGGACCATTGGGAGCAAAAACAGCCACCCTCCAGAAGGAAGGACAATGTCAAATTGTGACAAGTGTCAAATGACAGTGACAAGTTCAGAGAAGACTGTATGGTACATTATTGTTAATAGTTAAGGTTCTTCAATGCATTTTTAAGATTGAATTCCTGAGTTTACTTTACATTATCTCCTGGTAACATTGGTGATCAGGACAGTTACAGAGAGTGAATCACCCTAACAGGGACACAGACAGCAATACAAAAAATGGAAAGTGGTTCTAAACCCTCATCACCCAATCCAAATTAACAAGACATTTTTTTTTTTGTTAGACTTCAAATGTGAACATTTCAGTAAACAGAGGAATCTACACAGTTGAAGAACTTTTAAAATGAGAACTGTATATAGTGTAAATTAACATGTAAGAGATATATATTATAAGAGATAACACTGATACAGCAATAAACCTGCAATAAAATTCTGCAAGACTTTTCAGAACACAAGAGAAAGCAGAAGAAGAATTATAAGGAAAGTACAATACTTTTCCCGTAGTGCACATGTTGTTGGAAATAGACGTCTTTCTCCCTGGCTTGTAGCACGTTCCTTCCTCTTGAGGTTTCCCTTTGCTGGCAGAGGAGAATGTGAGTTAGCGTCACTCCCTTTTACATAGACTCAACCTTTCTTGACAAGCCCTTTAAAACTGAACTCCGGAATAAGCAAATATTGTCTAAATAAAAGAGGCTTGGCTATTCATATTAGAATTTTAGTGTTTTCTTGTGTATTTCTTCCAGATTTGTGCAGTTATACAGTGTGAGCCTTTACCTCTGTACAGGAGCTTCTTGTAAAAAAGACCAGTCACCGCTGCTGTCATTCCTTCTGTGGGGTAGCTGGTCTTGTATACACCCCTCAGTACTTTTCTGTAGTCAGTCTGTACTGGGGGACATGTAGTTCCCTTCCATATTACTGCTCTCTGCGAAGGCTATGTACAGCACATTAATGATGTCACTGCTACATTTACAAAGTAGAATCGGCCACTGTCAGAATACAATGCAAACAGTGGGGAATTTGTCCACACTCGTAAATGTTGATGGAGAAATCTGTTCTATTTTTTTCATTCAGCCTGCAGATTGAACTAAAAGAATAGACACGTGTACACATGACTTTAGACTAATACTGCACATGAGATTTTTAATAAACGGCTTCTTGTGGAGTAAGATACACAAGTAACATGCAGTAGCATCTTGTAGCTAGCAATAGCACATAAATAGAGCCTATTGTGTTCATAAAAGATTGATCACTACTAGATACTACTTGTGTAGCTTCCTCCATAGGGAGTCAGTTGTTGCATCTGTTTAGTAAACAATTGCTTCTCCTAGGGATTAATTGTTGGCAATTTTGGTAGCCTGACTGAGCTACTAAAAGTCTCCAGTGTAGCTTTAGCTGAAACTTGTGTCTAAAAGGATAAAGCATATCTAAACTCAAGAGCAAAAATGTAATATATGGCAGCTTACCAGTCCTTAGATATGGTGGCTGCATTACTTATCAGGCTTTGTTCCTTTTTTTCACCTGGGGATCCTGCTGTAGCTTTGATGCAGACAGCCCCTTTAAGACTTGAGAGCCGCTCAACTGGAACTTTGTAGCTGTGCCGCAGTTTTCTTCTCCTCCCCGCTGCTGGTAGGCCAGTCCGGCAGGGAGAGGAATGTCATTGGCCAAATTGGCGGCCCTGAGAAACTAAGCCTCACCCAACCGGACCCATGGGATGTGAAGCGGAGAAGGATGGTGGGCGAGAGTGGCATGCAGTCTGGGGGCGAAGGGACAGGACCCAAAAGGCCACTAGGGAAGATATTGGACCACCAGAGAAAAGGAAGATGAAAGGGTTACCAGGAAGAGACTGACAGAAGAGTGTCCTGAGGTAGCTGTGAGACAGAGAGATTTACCCCTTGTCCAACCCTCTATAAGACCAACCAGGAGAGAGCAGTAGAGACAAAATGATCTACCTCTCATAAGCCTTTATCCTGTCAGAGACATTGCAGCCCACTTCTCATCCACTGATTCACGTCCACCTGCCAGATTCCCCTCACCGTCAAGAGACAGTCTGTATCCAGGAGGACATTGCTCAGATGTCAGAGCGGTGAGCGGCCCTGGACCACTTTCATTTGTGACACTTTGCCTATGCCTGTTTGTTGCACTGTTACCTCTGGTTGAAGTTTCTTAAAGGGGATCTCCTCATCCTGTCTGATAATTGCTTTGGAGAAATATTTTTTAAAAATGCCCTTGCCCTTGGGATTCACAAATACCTTCTTAAAGGGGGTACCCAGATGCCACCCCCTTGTGAATGAGTAAGGGGAAGGTGTTACCCCTACTCATTCACCAAACAGTACAAGAGTAAAATTGTAAATAAACACACAACACCCTATGCAAAGTCCTTTATTTGAAAAAAAAAAACAAAAACATAAGAAAGGCTTTTGAAAATTCCTTTATTCTGAAAACCCCATCCAAAAAAGTGCCCATCGATGTAATCCAAAGGTCAAATCACGCCATCCAGTTATGTAGATCCACGTCAATCACGATTGATGACAGCCATTATTCAGAATAGCTCCTACAGCAGCCTAAGGCAGCCAAGGGGCTCAGCCAAGAAGAACGCATGTGCTTCGGCTCTGCTTAGCTGTTGTCATAGCCGAAGCGGGGCAAATGGTCTGCGAAGCCAACTGTTCTCCCTGCAAGTGGCAACAACTGGGCAGAGCTAGCTGTGATGTCACGGCTGGCTCCGCCAAGTTGTTGTCATTCAATGACATCCCAGAGTCCTCAAGAACACTGGGCTGTCATTCTATGAGTTATCCTTCAATGACAGACTAGCATTCTCAGGTTATTTGAGGACACTTGGCTGTCATTAAATTACAGCAACTGAGCGGAGCCGGCCGACGCCAGCCGATGTACGGCTGATTTTAGCTGATGTACGTCTGAAAGCAGCCGTACAGAGCCAAAGTGAATGGCTGAACACCATTCGGCTCCCTTTACTTCAGCTTGTTTATTCACTCAGCTGCCTTTGGCAGCTGAGTGAATAACCCTCTAAAAATGTGTTTGCGATAATGCCTACAGCATTATTGGATTCACACCAGGTATGTCGTACTTTAATTTAGCAGAGCATTTTTGCTAGTATGATTTGAATTCATCCCATACTCCAAGAGTATAAAGCGTAAAAAACAAGAAAGATCACCTTCTTGAGGAACGTCCTAGCAGAATATAATCCATGTAAATTGTTCAAAAGACACAGAATTCTTAAATTAGGGGAATCTGCTGTTCCAATAAGTTTGATGGGAAATAGGCAAATTGACTGCAGAAATAAGCTATTCCATATAATGTGCATCAATTCTGCTTGTGGCTGATGGCATCTCAAAGATTCTGAAGCAACAATCTTTCTTAATTTATTTAGTCATGTCAAAGCTGTATTTGTTGTATGATAAAAAGTTAAATAGATTTCTTGTTTACCACTGGGAAAACTGTTTTATGTGAGGAGCAAATGGCATTACATTTTTTTTTAGAAATGGAGGGAATAGTGAGTTTTACTTTTATCATAGTCTACTAGGTTCATCATCCATATTAATTAATAATAATAATTAATATGGTCTTTGTTGCCAAACTGAACTAAAATGAAATCTCTCTTACAATTGCTTAATCAAGTATAATGCCCTCAGCATTAATACCACAGACTGTCTAGAGAACAGCATTGCTCCTAAGACATATAGGGGTCAATTCACAAAGCTTATTTTCTTCATTTCGGCCGTTATTTCATTGATATTGCTTGTTATATAGTTGCTGTGTAAAGGTAGTCAATTCACAAAACTCAATAACGCTTCTTATTTTTAAGAAGTAGTAAATGAACTATTCAGACGTTATTTTAACTATTCAGACGTTATTTTAACGACTGGAGTGATAAAATATGCTTGAAATGCAATTCACAAAAGGAAAAGGTCCTTTTATCACTCATTATTGAGATGTAGATTTATCACCTCCTTCAGGGACTCCCCTGCATTCTCTTTTTTGTCCTTGCGTCCCTACCTGCGGCCAGTTATGTCGTCCCTACCTCTGAGTCATAAAGTGCTGCAGTGCCGTCTGGGTTCAACCTCTCCCAGGTGTAGTCCCATTTCCTGGGACTACACTACCCCCACTACTAAAATATTTCAAGCCTTATAGATATTTTATTGGTAAGAGCCCTTGTGCAGTTTTCAAGCTACTCTGAGCAGTTTTAAGTGAAAGGTAGGGGGACAGACTGAGCTATATAATATAAGCAGATTAAACTTCAGCTTTAATGTGTATAAGCAAATGTTAAAGTTGAAGTTTAATCTGCTTATATTTTGCCTTTTCTGGTTCTACCCCACCCCATATTGGCATGCTAATATTATTTTTAGAAGTTTCTGTATGCATAAAAAGTTAGATGGCTGGAGGGAGAGCCTGCAGGGTGCTGTACATATCTTCATCGATATACTGTATATTAAATATATGTCCTTTTATTGATGTGTGAAACTTCCAATGCCTGCATAACATCTGACAATTTCTGTAATCATACCAGTGACATGCAAGTAAGGTTCAAGCTAGGTGAGGCATTCCTGCTGCCATGCTAATGGGGAAGCCCGCGGCTGTGTAATCTAACTTGCTGTCAAAAGCCAGATGCAGCGCCGCCTATAATTAACAGGCATTGCTCCATCTATGACAGGTTACACAGCAGGGCGGCTTTCCCTGCTGTGTAACCTGTTAGAAGTCGGTCTGAATGGAGAAAAAGCTGCCAGCTTCAGACTTGAAGCTGACAGCTTTTTCCTCCATAATGCCTCCCCTGACTGCACGTCTCTGAATCCTACAAGATGAATCTTTTCAGAACACCCTGAGAATAAGAGTCAAGAGCAGCCAGTCCTGCTCTGTCTTTAGACAATGTGATCATTTTGTTGATAATAGAAGTTGTAGGACTATTTGCTTCTCAATACCCACCATTCTCTCTTCATACCTACCGGTAGTTTGGGAATAAGTTCCATGAAACATATTTGGCCACTTACTGTCTGCTGCTGAGTACTATATGCTATTTTAGCCCATGCCTCCTTCTCTTAGTAGACGTATCTCCTTTTTCCACGGAAGGTGTGACATGTCATACAATAGGAGAGAATTCTCCCTTCCCCAGGTAAACTCTTCTCCCTTGTACTTAAATTAGATCAATAGGAAATTCATTCTGGAAGCCCTGAAAACTTGCAGTTAGTTTACTTTTTTATTAAGGCCTATAGAGAAAAGCAGCATAATTGTGGTACTGTGTCATCCAGTCGGCATAGAAGATAATTACATTTCCTTCTGGCCTGGTATAGACATGGCTTCTGCTCTGGGTAGCCTGTAGTCTAAAGAAAGTGCAAAGGGGTATAGTTAGCGTCCTCTATAAACAGTTTTAAGTTACAGACAGGAACAAAGAAACCTTCTTTTATACCTTCTTAACTATGTATATTTATTACGGAATAAGTTCATTGCAAAAAACTAAAATAATAAAGCTACTATGACACATGATAACATAATCAGCAACATGAATGATCTTCCAAGA